TTTTTCTATATTTAACATATATATGACTTATATTTTTCTGTATATTATACGCGTATTTCTAAATTTTCTTGAAATTTATTAATTTCTATGTATTTTGCTTTGAGATTCAGTCGTATACTAACTCTAATTGTCCGCAGTTCTTTATGTGAAACTCAAACTATACGTGTATTATATGATGCCTTTAAGCCCAAATCTAAAATGGAAAATAAATATATTTTGAATATTAAAATTTAAGATTTCTTTATTTATTCCATCACCCAGTAATTTACGAAAGACTGTCAAATTAAGAATTCACAGAGTTTAAAATTTCTAAAATTGTTCAACGAAATATTTTTTTGCGGGTAAGATGTTAGAACGCGGGTGCTTATTGATTAAAAATAAATATTTTAACATTACTTAAAAAACAAGTAATATAAAAAAAAATAATAATAAAGTCGATTCCTACTTTTTTTGACTAAATTGCAGAAAGTCCTTTACAAATAATTTTCATTCAATTTTTAATTTTATCTGGCGCCATCTATTGGTCGATATATGCAACTTAAATCTAAAAAAAACAAAAATTAATTAATTAAGTTTAATTACTGCATTAATATTTGAAAAGACTGTATTAACATCCAGTGTCATTCACTACAAGTTCAAAAAAATGTATTTGAGCTTGAGTGGATGGATAAAAAGTATTTTATTAACGATTGAAAATTTGAACAAGATATATAGAGGAAGAGTGTGAGCTAATAGAAGGAATTGAATAACGTAAGTAATTCCAGAAATAAGAGAAATTTCTAAGAAAAATGGATTTACAATTATGAATAGGTTATGAATTTAAAGTTCAGAGAAAAAATAAACATTTTTGGTTTGGTTTGTCACTCTACAGTAATTTTGTGTGCAATTTAGGCTCATTAGATCGGAATCTACCATTTAACGTGGAATCCGAACCATTAATGAACATCCACTTGCGAAGTACTAAAGCCCATAGCGCTAGCTGATTTGTCATCAGACCGCTATTCATTCTGAAGATAGTTCTCAATACATAAAACTATTATAATTTAAAAATCCAATAACTGAAGTCGTTAAATAAATTTAGCTTCCAAAGTAGAAGGTTTGAGATCTGCATTTCTGTTATTCCAATAATCGTTTTAGGTTGCTAACATCTTTATGAATGTGAACATCATTTCTGAACTTAAATGGCACGACAAAAAGATAAGATCTTACACTTTTTTCGTGTTTCGCAGTAGAATAACAGCAGTGTATGATAACTAAACCTATCTGTTATACCCAACTACCTATCGCATATAGCTCTTAACCAATGGACATTTCATAAATTTAATGTTAATGAAACTGAGAAGATATCTTTTTTTTTTCATGTTGTTAAACTTACACATTTTCTTTAAGTAAAAGAAGGAAAAGCAGTTAATTTAAAGCTATTTATTTTTTTTTTATTCTAAATTTCAGTTTTAATCTTTGTTACAAGATTTCTTTAATCAAGGATACATAGATCAAATTTACTGTTATCCTGATTTAAAAGACACGGAAAATATTATGAAAAATATCTTCAGAAAACGTTAAAAAAAAAATTTTACTTTTTTCTTTAGCATTCACTTTCTTAGGAACTCCAACATCACTAATTAACACGATTACTTAATTAAAAGAAGAAGAAAAATATACTAATGCATTAAAGCTGGTAAAGAAATAGAGAAAAGTCAATATTTCTTAATGCTAATTCTTTCTTTCTTTCTTTTTTATAAGAGAACTCCAAGAAAAATAAATCTTACTTCTTTCTTATTTCTGTGAATGGATTTGACTGTGAGGGAAAAACAACTGTGAAATAAAAAGGAAATGTAAATAGTCTCATTTTCTCTTAATCCTTCCAACGCATTTAATCTTGCTCCTTTTTTTTCTTCCTTTTTTTTTTTTTTTTGGTATGGTGTTGGCAGAATCTAATCGAAAATATTTTTGTTACTTGATATTGAGAATTCGATAAATATAATGCGGAGTATATATATATATCACCTTAATTCTCCACAGTAGATTGCCCTTATTTTAAATGGGGATTATAAATAAAAATACTGATTGTCACCAATAAATTAGATGTACCTCATTTTCTAACTCAATTGCATTTTTATGCAAAATAGTGATAAGTATTAAAAATGAAATGCATTGATAAAAACTATAATATGGCATTTAAATTGTTTATTATATAGTATAAGTGAATTCAATATTTGTTATAAAAATTGTAAATGATAAATATTTTGTGTATATAATATTATATTGTTAAAGTTTATATTTGTGCAAATATAGTAAATCTCCACCATGTGTTAATAAATGGTTTTTTAATTTCAAATAGTTAAATATTAATTCCAACTTAATTAACTCTTCGTGATTTCATCTTGACTTAAAATGCTGTTGAACGGCCTACTGTTTAGCTCTCTGGTGCTCTGTGCAGCATGTTTCGAGTTCGAGTACCGGCGATGCCATGGATGTTTGTAGTTGTTTGTAATCCATTTTAAGCCGTTGGTCCAGGATCGTAAGAATATAGAGGGTCACGTCGCCAAGTCATATTTCTACATATGGATGTTCACTCAAAACAGAAGTTGCCAACTTTTCCATCAACCATAAATTCATACGGGTTCGTGGGCTTGGTATAGATGTCTAACAAATGTGGTAAAAAAAACACAGTGCAGAATAAATACTTAATTGAACTTTTACTTTTACTGCAGTTATAGATGGATTGTTAATATCAAAGATAAAAAAAATTACTAAAAATATTTTTTAAATAGGTATTTATGCATATTTAATGCATTTAGTGTATATAAATGTTAAAAAGAATTAAAGATTTTGTTATATTTAAACTATATAATATGCATATTTTTATATTTTATGCACACAAACATACTGTCAACTGTTTTATTTAATTGTGTCGATTAAAATAAAATTAAATTCAATGAATTCAATATTTCATCCTTCAATAATAATTTTCTCCTTTAGTATTGTAAATGTATTACATTATTTAATTACAATACTGAAAAGTAATAGAATCAATTCACGTGCAGTCGTAAATGCTGCCAAAGAATCACCTAAACTGTTGAAACACGCAATGCTACTGCTAAGCCTCGTGTATTTCACCGGTTAAATGAATTCACTTGAAACGCATCTAAATTTCTAAAGTTAGACAGTTTTAAGTGCTAATGTTGTTAATAAATTTATGTAGGGATTTTCCACTTTCATTTGTATACAATGCGTTGTGGGAATCGTAGAAAATTCTTATTCTATGGATTATGCAGCATTCACGTTCTCACTTCTTAAATATAGAGCTTAATTTTGAATCTATTATCATAAAGCTTTAGAAAAATCCTAACACATTTGGAAATCGTAATAATTTTATCTTTTTCTATTAATTAACGTCAAGAATAATGAATAAAATTAGTTATACAAAAACAAATTTAACACAATGCACATGCTAATGTTAAGAAAAGTTTAATAAAATAGTTTTATTAAGTATAGAGTGTAGGACATAAAATAAATAAAATCATCAATATGAAAATAATGTAATTAATTCATGGAGGATAATGATACATAGGTACATAAATACATAAAGTAGTACAAAAAGCAAAAATTCCGTTATTAATTTTTATTATCAATAGATTATAAATACATTATAATTCTATAACAATGCGAAATATCTACTAACATTTGTGATGATATATTCTATAAATATAGCAGAAGAATCGATTTTCCATTAAAAGGTTTTTCCAAATACCACCATAAATGTATTTATATTAATAAAACAATATTAAATAACGAAGTTACATATACGATTTAGGGATAAAGTTTTTCCAGAACATTACCTGGATATATGAAATATCGAATAAATATATGTTTCATCGAATTAAGTGAAACTGAGAAAAATGAAAACATGTTTAAGATAAGCAACTTATTCCTTGGGCTTATATGCATTATTTGAAACAGTTCCATATTTTATTTGCATTGTTGACCATTTGAAGTTCTAATGCAATTTCTGCTTGCAGCACGTTGATAAAGGAATAAAGCATTTGTTGAAATAGATTTATATCTTAACTATAGATTCGAAAATATGTATTTTTAACATCTAGAAATTCATTTAATTCTTAAAATAGGATTTATGTTTAGTATCTTAGGGAATTCTAATTTGCTTACTGATTTGAATTCTCTATGCAACAATTCAAGAATATATTCTTTTCTGTACGGCTCGGTTACGCAATTTCAAAGATCAAAATATTTTGAGTTGAAGTATTTATTCGGAAATTCGTATATATTTCATAAAATCATTCAATTAAAATCTGGCATGACAATGGCTGACATGACTGGGTTATAATATTTTAATTTGTTCCAGTGCTTTAGAACTGCTACAACATAATGACTTCAAAAAATTATATCAACTCAACCATATTTAAGAAGTCTTACACGGAATGTAGCACAAGGGCAACTTTTCTACAAAATAATGAAATCCAATGGATTTAAGTTCTCTAATGAGGATCGTTGATGCAGCTGAGATAATTTATTAATCCTGTCCATTAGTAAACAGTCAGCTGTAGATTTGAGCTAAATGAAGATAGTGAGAAATGAATTCCCACTTTTGTGAAAATTTCAATAATATAATACTGTTTAATTCATGTTTTTAAATGTATTAAATACCTTAATTATGTGTTGCAAAAGAGTGTAAGGAGGAAATTTACCTTCCAAGGCAACATTTAATACCTGCTATTTTATTATCTACTAAAACAATGTAAATATACTACTCACATGAATGTGGAGAAGTCACTTTAGAAATCCTGCTGCAAAACATTATGCTCTCTCTTTACAACCTGGAGTTATGGCGGTACGTGATAATAATATTAGTAATGATGGAAAATGTTAAGAACTTAAAAATTGAAAGTTTCACCCAGATCCAAATAGGGAATATAATTGCATTTACAATCAATTCGACAAACAGTTCTTATAATAAGTTTAACAATTATCTTTAGCCAACGGCCGTACCATGATGAATATACCGGTTCTCGTTAGAACACCGAAGTCAAGCATCATTGGGCGCGGTCAAATACCACCTGGGAACACCGCGTGCCGTTGGCAAATTTGGGATGAATGGCCGAGTGTCTAGCATTTATGTTTGTTGGTTCGGAATCAATAGGTCCCAGTCTCCTATGACTGTAAGAGCGTCAAAGTCAGGCTTCTACCTACGGGTTCCATTGCTTCCTTCCCCTTCAATCATGAGCACGTATGGGCTCGTGGACTTGGCCAGCCAAGTGGGATTAGAAACAAACACAATTATCTTTTCTTGAAATAAAAAAATTTAATTTAATTTTTGACGTATTCATCTATATGTTTTTTTTCCAACACAATAAATGTCTTTGTCTTTTTCTCTGTCTCTCTATCCCTCTTATATATATATATATATATATATATATATATATATATATATATATATATATATATATATATATATATATGTATTAAATATATTAAATTAAATATATAATGTCTTCTACGACACATATATTCTGGAATAATTTCTATTTCTTTAAAATATGATTTAAAAAAATATCGAAATAAGATGTCTTCATTTGAACCTAAAGTTACACTAAAAGAAAAATTTTACATATTTTTGGATTAATATTTAAAATTCTAATCGATCTAATTATTTATTTTAATTAGCTTTATTGCTTTTTAGATGATGTTTAAGAAATTCAAGGTGGTTGTTTTATTCGGTCTATTACCTCAATAATATCAATGCGGTAAAATTAATTTCGTAGATTTGTTGGCTTCAGCTACATTTATTAGTTAATGTCAAGCATTTATCGATATTATCGGAGAAATACCAAAAAAGGGAAAAAAAACTAATTTTTCCATGAACTCGTGACTTAGAATAAAAATATTACTTAATGACTTAGAATATTAAAAATGACTTAAGTCAAAAAATTATTTCTGATTTAGATTTCGAAAAACAATTACGTTTTGAATTTCATGCATTTTAAGGAATTTAATGGTGAATATAATGCTTTTTTTAACATTTCTTTCTGTTTTATACTAATGAAAGGCGTTGCCATTATTGTAATGATCATTTTATCTATACATCAATATTGTAAAACATATTTCTTATAAACCTTTTCATAGGGGTAAAAATAATTATAATCCTATATAAAAAATATAGGGGGTCTGACGGCCGAATGACTAGCACTCTGTCGCTTGGTGTCACAGGTTTCGTGTTCGAGTCTCCGCGGTACGACGGATGTTACCGCAAGTTAAATATTAAGTTGAATATTTACCGATTAGTACCGCAAGTTAAATATTTCCATAAAATTAAACACCATTTCAAAGTAGCACTTGTCACGAGACAGTATCTAAGGTGAGGCCCTTAAGTACAGGGTAAGATGTGGTGAAAAAAAAAAAAAAAAAAAAACGAAGAGACTTTGTTTGACAAGGTTCTTAAAGCATGCTATTTGGTAGGAAGTTTTCGGGCTTACTCTCATACTTCAAGCATATACGGGGAAAATACTATTGAAAGCCCACCCGGAAAGTAATGTTTTCCTTTTTTCTTCCACCGAAAGGCTGTCTGTGGCATGTATAGATTTAAAACTTCATAGATGTTAAATAAAAAATGTGATTTTAAATTAATATCGATGTTAATAAATAAACAAAATTGCTGAATATAGTTGCATCAATATAAATCTACAAGTAGACATAAGAAAAAGAATTTGGAAAAATTATAGTAATTAGTAGGAAAAATATCATAATTATAAACGCGGTGTAAAGGAAAAAAATAAAAAAAATTATGCTAAATAATCTTGTAGTACAACATTTACATTATTATTTATACTACAAGATTATTTATGCTAAATAGTCTTGTAGTATAAATAATCTTGTATCTTGTAGTATGCATCATTTATGAAAGAAAATTATTTATCATATTGCTGCTATGCTTATTCAGAATCCTAACAGAATAAATTTTCGAAGTTTTATAACATAATTTAGCAACCATCATCTGATATAAAACAAATATTTGGTTGAGATACGAAAATATATTAAATCACTGTAGGAACATAATACAATCTCTATGTATTCTGTATATAAACATTATAGTCTTTTCTAACAGATAAATAGATTTCTATTTCAGCATTTAGAATAATATTGCTTTATATTCTATAATTCTCTGTTTATCTGAACAATAGTAAATGATAGTAAATAAATGTATAGGCGAATGTATCCGGAAAGGATTGAAATTCGTTAGGCGAGCAAAACTTGTGAATGATTTATTTGCCATCCGATTCCTTTTAAGACATCCGAGGCTGTTGAGAAGGAATCTCTTGATTAAGGGATGACTCGGAAACAGCCAGATGCGAGCATCTTTCATTCCCTGAATCATCCATTTGCCACTCGCAATGGAGTTTTCGGTTCTCTCTGCCCATTTTGACCGTTAACATTAATTTTTAAAACCGCAAGGAAAACCTGCCGGTTTCTTTTTACTCAATTCCTAGAAATCTGTTCAATTTCTATCAAAAGAAGTTTTTTTCGGAATTGCATTCAAGAAAATTTATTGCTTGTAATTCCATTGCATTCAATACGTCAGCATGTAATTGCATTCAAGAAAAAATATTTCCAAAGAAAGCATGCATTTTTTATTCACAATTCACATTAATTTATGGAAGTGCTATAACGAAAAATCCTAATTTTAATATGGAAATGAAAATTATTATATATTTACTTCTAATACAGCTAATTTTTTAAATCAGGAAATAAATTAATAAAGATTTTCTGTACTTGGCACGTTCCATATTCCATATATACATATATGGAATATGGCACTTACTTTAAATTAGTATTCAAATATATTGAAATATATATATCAAGGCTAGCTGCTCGTTTTACCTTTGAGCACCTAGTTGTATTCTATGTTTTAATCAAATAATCATAATGCTCAGCATATATCCTTAGTATATATAATGTACGACTGACTTGAAAACTGTTTCAAATTTATTTATATAATCGTTTTACATTTTATAATATCATAAATATATTGTTTTATAGTATCATAAAAATATTGTTATTATTAAATTATATCGTATTTATGATATTACTGTATATTTCTGTGCATAAGCCAATAACTTTTTGGACTTTTTCTAAAGCTTTATTAGGGTTTTGACTTACATACACATTTGCTAATTTTTCAAAAATTCATAGTTTCTTTCACTTGATGAATATAATTTATAGCGGATATTAAATAATTGTATAGCAATTATTTAATAATAATATAGCAATTATTATTTTTTTATTTATTTTTTTTTAAATTTTATGAGGAAAAATGAGAAGAATTGAATTATTATTTTTATGAAGATTGTTTCTTATTTCGAAATTTATCTTATTGCTGTTTGCCTCTTTGTCGCCAAAACAATAGTTTGATTTTGGCGAAATTTCCATCCGGTTAAAGAAAATTACCAAACGTACATCAGAAATAAAAAAAAAAAAAATCAATGATCTAATTAATTATAAAATAAAATTATTGTTGGAAAAATACTTTAATCTTTTAAATAATTGATTTAATTACTACAATTTGCTACAATTATTTTAATTACTATAATTTCGAAAATTACTTTCTTACTATAATTACTTTTTTCTTTTCAGGCGGCTTTCGAAAAAAAATGTTATATAAATCCTTCAAATTCCGTGTCTGAATCCAAGTTTTCGAAAATTTTCTAGGCATTTAAAAGGAAAATATTCAGTCTGTTTTAACTGGATAACAGTTTCTTCTTCATGGTTGTATATTTTAACATAACATGATTTTATTTTTTCATATCAGTGCACTCTAGGCTTATATACGAATCGGCTTACATTCATAAATGCACATGTCTTTTGGTTTATTACATCTTTTTCATACATAATACATAATCATACATTCTACTATAATTACTTTTTCCAGGTTTTTTTTTTTTTTTTTTTTTTTTTTTTTTGAAGGGATTCGATAGGAAAATAATCACTCCATTTTACGTAGATTACATTTTCTTCTTCCTATCGGGTTCTAAACAAGTTTTCATCTTTGGTTAACTGAATGAAAAAAAATTGCGTTCTAGGCTTATATATTAATCGGCTTGTATTCATAAATGCACCCCAATCCTTAGGTTTATTATATTTTTTAATTACAATCGTTATTTTAAAATAGCTTCAGTTCAAAAAGTGTTGCACATATAATAAATATAACACTTCAAAATACTACTAAAACCATTTTTTAAATTATACACTATGAAAAATTAATTACAGGAAAAATATCTTATTTATCTTTTATGCAAAGCATTAAGCTGATTAAAGAAAATGATAAGTTTAATTGTTACTTCTATGATTCAAATAAGCAAGAAATTAAAATACGTAATTTTTTTATAGCCATGATTTTATTACAAAAGTAGATAAAATTTTAAAACAAATGATTCACAATGTTACGAGTTTATCAAGAGGCTGAAGGGACCTGCACATATAGGGATTACAAAGGGACAAAATGTCAAAAGTTAATTAAAATGTTAGTTCTTCAATAATAAGAACTTGATGTACAAAATAAAAGTATACCAAAACAGGCGCACAACTTTAAATTAATTAATCCCATTTCGGATAGCTAGTTTATTGGTTGGAAATTTTCTCTAGAAACAAAATAACTTTTTTTTTTTTTTAAATATGAAATAGTAATACTTATAAAAGGTACCACACGGAATAAAACGTATTTCAGATATAATACATTTCTTTTAAATAAATTGTTTTTTTTTTTTTTTTTTTTATACTTTATCCAAACTGTTTATTTCCTGAAAAGAGAAAATTTATTTTTTTCTTGTTTTTCTCAATTGGAAGAAGTTGGCATTCATATATATATATACATATATACACTCAAGAGCCAAAACATTATGATCACCTGTCAATAACGAGTTGGCCCACCTTTGGCTCGCAACACAGCTTCAACCCACCTTGGCATTTATTAATACCACCACTTATTACCAGTTAAATACCACTTCCACCTGATCACGGGCCTTCCACGTCATCCAGGTGAGTTCATTGCAAAATGTAGGGGTGGTCATGATATTTTGGCTCTTGAG